TGGGGCTTGGAGGTCCGATGCTCCATTTTGCCATAAACAACGATTCCCTCGAATAGTCCACACACGACTCACCGATTTACAGCAAACAACACACGTTGGGCTGCCTTCTGGGGGCGTTCTGGATTTTTCTTCCTTTTGTCCTCTGATGAGAGGCTGACTTGGAAGGTCAGAAGCCCCCCTTTTCTGAAATGACGCTAATCAGTGGAGCCGTGTCTAACCCGAGTCTGTATCAAGGCTTCAGGGAAACAGAGATCACAAAGGCCCCCAATTCCGTTTCTCCATCGAGCACCGGACGAAGTGGTTGGTTTTTGATCAGGAGTCTTTTTATGTGCAGAACGTGGAGAGTCACACAGTTTGTGCCAGAAGAAGCCTGAGGGACGCTTCCCGCAGAAGAGACAGCAGATTCGGGCCTCTAATCCCGCGCAAGGGGCCTGCGCCGTCCCACCCGGCACATGCCGGCCGATCGCCGGCAGGACGACAGGCACGGTCTACACTGTGATCGCTCTCTCGCTGGTGGCCTGCTCTGTCCAACTGAATTTGCCTGAATTTCATGCCACACATGCGTCTCCAAGGTGACAGCGACAAGCCCTCCGTTTTGTTCAGAGCTTCGCACGTCCCAGAGCTTTTTTGTACCCACAGCCCCGTGAGGACGGGCCCATGCTCATTCTCATTTTTTTTCAGATCGGGAAACTGAGGTTCAGAGAGGTTGAGCGACTTGCCCAAGGGCACACAGCTTGCTGATGGTGGGGTCAGGACAAGAAATAACATCATCTTCGCTTGATAAGGCCCTATGGGAATCTGCCACCGGGAGAACCAGGACCCTGCTTACCCCTGGCGTACAGATAGGGGAAACTGAGGCCAGTGAGGGAAGGGCTCACTCTAGATACCTCCGTGGGAGTCTGTGGTGGTGCAGGACCCTTTTAGCCTCTGCCAACCACCACCAATTCCCTACCCTGTCCCACCGCACCTGTCCCAGCTGTACCCCAAGGGAAAAGGGAGTCTCAGCGTCCCTGTGGGAACCGGATGTGATGTTGATGGTGGTGGTGGTGGCTAGGGAGGAAGTGATTCAGGGCCCTCATCCCTCATCATCCCTCAAAACCCCAAACCAGAAGTCTTTTTCTGGTGCATTTGGCGGGAAGGCATTTGCAGCCTTTATGGGTCTCTCTTAGTGCGAATTCGTGTTTCACTGAATGGGAACATGGGTGTTGCCCGAGACCTCGTTGGCGTGCAACAAGCGCCCAGCACACACACGGTATGACCTGCGATCTGGAAGATTCTGAGTTCCCAAATGATCTGGCCCGAGGCTTGGGATAAGGGTGTGTGGACCTGGGAAGGTGAGGGGGACCATTCCTTTCGAGGGCACTTATCCCACTTCCTCTTCTACTCTGCCTGCACGGCCCCTCCCCACCAGGCTGGGTGCCCACAGGCCCGTCTGCCTGGATCGTCCTCACCAGTCCCACCCAGTGTGAACACTCACTTCCTACAAGCATTTGCCCAAATATTATCTCCTTGTGAGATGCACTGCCCCCTCCCTGGGTAAGCACAACCCCCTCCCCCCAAACTGCCCTGCAGCACTCCCAATCCCCCAGCCCCACCCCACGCATGACTTCCCAGCACCCGGGCCATCACTGGTCTTCCCATCACACCCCGACTACTATCTTGGATCCACCAGGGAAGGGATCTCGATTGTTCAGTTGTGTCCACAGCACTTAGAATAGTGGCCGGCATATAGTAGGTGCTCAATAAATCCTTGCTGTCTAAATGAATGGATGAGCCACCTTTAACAATTGCATTGTCCCTTAAGGTGGGCACAGTCGTCATCCCCAATTTTGAGATGAGGAGGCTAAGATTCTCGTGTTCTTGTCATCTGTGAGTGGCCCGATAGAGATCAAACTGCAGTCTGCGTTACTCCAAAGTCCCACAGGCCTTCACACACGCGCACGTGCACACAACCCATATGCACACGAGGACGCACACAGCACGCTCGCACGGGTTCATACACGCACCCACAATGCGTGCGCACACACGGAGTAGGTGACCCATCAATTTTATCAGGCAGAGTTGAGGTCCCTCCTCGGTCTCTGTGGGGAAAACCCTGCTGAGGTGTTGGCGCTGGACAGAGTGACCGGAAGGGCCAGGGACAGCCCCTGAGCCCCCAGGTCCCTCTATTCCCTGGGAAAAGAAGCTGGCCGTTTGCTTTGCTCCCAGAACTAGCAAGACCCTCAGCCTCCACATCGTGGATCCGCGGACCGGGCAGCCTGCTTGCAGCTAGAGCCCCTCTCCCCTCCTCTCCCATGGATGCCCAGCCCCTCTTGGGCCTGTCCCGACCATTGCCTGTGCCCTCGCCAACCCCTGGGCACACTTCCCTCTTTTCTCTGCCCGGCTGGCTCTTTCCTGCATCTGCTTGGCCACTGAGTCTCAGCTGTTGTTTCCTTCGTTGTACTTAGCACGAGCTCTAGAAACTCGGGAGTGTTTGGGTGCTCTTGTCCAGGGCTGGCTGTCCCTAGTGCGTTTACACAGAGCTGGACACATGCTGGATGCTCCATGAATATTCGTAGATGGAGAAACGAAGGCGTGAATAGTCTGTGCAAAGGGACTGGGGAAGAGAAAGATCGATGGCCAGGCTAGCGTCTGGCAAGACTCTGCTTCCCCAGGTCCTCCATCACCTTGTTTCCTGCTGACTCGACCCTGATGATGATGATGGTCATGATTACTACGACCATCAGTGCTTGCTGGGCACCTACTACCCTCTAACCGACCTTCCTACCAAAAGCCCTACGTTCATTGATTTGTTTAATCCTGATAAGTCTCTATGGGACCCCTGCTCTTTTATTATTCCCATTTTGCAGAGGAGGAAACTGAAGCTGACAGAGTGGTCCGAGGCCGCCCAGCTGGCAAGTGGCGGACCAGAATTCAAACGGCAGAGCCCATGACCTTGCCATGCTTCAGTGCTGGTGGCTGGGCTGGACCCTCAGGGCTGCCTCCGCCCTCCTCCTCCTTCTAGGTGAGCCCCAGGCAGTTTGGGGTTAAGGACAACGACAGGAGGGAGCGGCTGTCACTGTCACCCCAGGTGTACCGCGGGCATCTTCATGCCCCAAAGGTCCCCAAGTTGCTGGCACAACCTTGAAGGCCAGCCAGGAGACGCAGCACCCCCAGGGGTCTGGTGGTGGGGCGTCTCCTCCTGGAATGGCTCAAAGGGTATGTGTGCTGTTTGCCCCCAGCCCCAGCTCTGGCCCTCGGGGTCCCCTGCCCTTGGTGCTCATATCCGCAGGTGGCAGTTACGTTTTGCCGCCATTTTCCTACTTGTGTGAGTGGCTTTGGGGTGTCTGTGCTCTTCGGGGACAGGGAGCCTCCGTGACAGCAGGAGCGCTGGGCCAGGGTCGGCTCTGCTGCTCACTAGCGCCGTGCCCTAGGCCTGCCTCTCGGCTTTTCCGGAACTCAGTTTTCCTGACTGTAAAATGGGGGCAACGGGCCCGCCTACCTCACAGGCTGTTGTGAAGCTTACAGAAGAAAACGACTTTACGCGTCTTTTGCAAGCTGTGACCCACCAAACGATGGGAATGTTTACTACCCACCAGTTCACACAAACACACACCGGGAACCATGAGCTCCTGGGGTTCCAGATGGTTCCCATACTCCCTGTGATGGGGCTGCCTCTAAGTCTCCCTGGCTCTGGGCTCCACGGGGCTCCACTGGGCTCAGGGAGCTGCCCGATCCTGCCAGGACCTGGCCCCTTGATGGCATTCCGATGGGAGACCCATGGAGCAGGGTCCCTCCCCCAGCCCCAGCTGGGAGCCTGGCCAGCCTCCCTGCTCCAGTCGGGTCAGAGGCCACAGGTCAGGGACAGCTGAGGGACCTCGGGGTCCATCCTAGGAATCCTCAGGGCCAAGGAAGCCCCAGCAGCAACTCAGGAGGGTCCCACCTCCCTGGGGACATCTGCCCTGGGGACAGGAGGCATGGATCTCTTGCAGTTTCATGTTAAAAAGTGCCATGTGAGCCTGTGTGTGTGCACATGGGCCATCGTCCGTGTGCGGGGGGAGGTAAACCTACATTTGGAGACCATGTCTGGCCCGTGAAGACACACACACACACACACACACACACACACACACAAACACCCCTACTTACACATACACACATTCGTACCTACTCACACACATATACTCAAACGCTACGCCCCAGCCTGTCTGGGAGGGCCTGAGGCTCCCTGCTCAGGCAGGCCATGGTCCCCGCGTCCTTTCCCTCCAAACTGGGAAACCGCAGCCCCCTCCAGTTCCCACCTGTCCCGTAGGCAAGCATCTCTCTCGCCCCACGGTAACCCCCAAACCCTTGAGAAGGGGGGCAGACCTCGTCCAGTTTACCCCCTGCTTTTCATAAATGGGGAGACCTCCAGCTTCTACCCACTCCCTCCCAGCAAACAGGAGGCCCCAGACTCACCCATCCCTCAGCTCCTCAGAGGCCCCGGGGGGCTTTCACAGTGGCCCAAGAGCGGACCCAAGTGCGTGCTCACGCCCTGGCTGGTGGGCCTGGCTGGGGCTCCCCTGGGACAGAGCGAGGGAGACTGGCACCTAAGGGTGCATGTCTGACACATGCCCAGCTGTGTTCTCAGAGGCGGCCCCCACCCTGCCTGGGCCCACTGTGCTCGGAGCATCATCAGAACTGCCCAGGAGACCGTGAGTCCCCGTCCCTTGTGCATCCAGGTAAAAGGTGGGCACTCAAGGTTGGGGGGGGGTGGTGGCGGTCCAGCTGCAGAGGACGCTCGGGCCAGATGGGCACTGGACGACTTGATTTCTGGGCTGAGAGTCTGATGGGGCACGGGTCCCACCTGAAAGGGTGCGGGAGCGAAGCAGAATGGGGGACGTGCGGTGAAGGGATGGGGTGGGGGGGACTGGCAGTGCGGCCTCAGCCCTCCCTGATGCTCCAGAGAGGTGCCATGTGGGCCTGAGTCAGACCAGAGCAACAACTGGCATCTTCTCCCTTGCACCCCTGAGTCCCAGTACCCGGTACATGCCCCAGGCGGGGTACTCACCCAGCACCCCCAGCAGGTACAGGGCGGCCAGTGGTGGTTGCTGAGACCCCATGGGCGCGGCCTCCTCCTGCCTCAGCCTCGCCAAGCTCGGCACCTGTGGGCGAAGGGTGTCTGGTTCCTGGGTCTCCCTCTCAGGGAGGAGGGGTGGGGCGGGCCGGCGCGGGCAGGGGTGGGACAGGGGAGCAGGCAGCGTGGGGCCTGCGTCATCCGTGTTTGAAGTTGAACTGTCAACTTCCTCCTGGCAAAACCATCTGCCCCAGTTCGAATGGCGGCCCCGGCCCCTGCCAGCTTCCTGCCTGAGGCGCACCGGGCTGGGGCCGCGTCCCCCCACCCGACCGCAGGACGCCGGGCCAGGCTGCGGGCCACACCGCCTGGCGGGGGTGCCACGGTGTTGGGGAGCTCTCGGCCGGGCTGCGGAGAGGGAGGAGGCCTGGCCTCCACAGAGGGGAGGCCCGAGGGGGGACTGAGGGGGCGGGGGACCAGTCCCCGAGGCAGGGGTCGCATTGAAATGACACTGAGCTGCGCTAGGTGGTGAGCAGGGGAGGT